ATGGAGTGAGCCCATGAGCCCACTGCGCATCAGCGTGGGAGGCCTCCCTGTCCTCGCCTCCATGACCAAGGGCGCCGACCCACGGTTCCGCCCGCGCTGGCGTGCCATCGTGCTGTCCTCAGCCGGCGTGGGCCTGGTGCTGCTGCTGCTGTGCCTGCACCGGCCCCCTGCGGCCCGGCTGGCCCCTGGCGGCACGCGTGGCTGGCGGGGTGGCGCGCGGGCCTCAGGGGGCATCTACAACGACACCTACCCGCTGTCCCCGCCGCAGCGCAACACCGAGGGCGTGCGCTATCGCGTCGGCATCATCGCTGACCTGGACACGCAGTCGCGGGGCACGCGGGACCACACCTGGTTCAGCTACCTGAAGAAGGGTTACCTGGTGCTGTCAGCCAGTGGGGACCGCGTGGCCGTGGAGTGGGACACCGAGGACTGTGTGCTGGAGTCGCACCTGGCTGAGAAGGGCCGCGGCATGGAGCTCTCCGACCTGGTCGTCTTTAATGGCAAGCTGTATGCCGTGGACGACCGCACTGGCGTGGTCTACCAGGTCGAGGGCACCAAGGTGGTGCCCTGGGTGATCCTCTCGGACGGGGACGGCACTGTGGGCAAAGGTGAGCCCACTCTGGCACTAGGACCCCTCGTCTCCTGGCCTTGCCCTTGGGCGGGAGGGCTGGGGGAGCCTGGGGTGGGGGGCAGCTGGGGATGCCTGCTCAGCTGTGGGCTCCATGGAGAGATCGGTGGTCACGGGCCCCTGGGATGCCCAGTGCAGGCTGACACCAACCCTGAGTCTGTGTCTGGCAGGCTTCAAGGCGGAGTGGCTGGCAGTGAAAGACGAGCACCTGTACGTGGGCGGCCTGGGCAAGGAGTGGACCACAACCACTGGGGAGGTGGTGAACGAGAACCCCGAGTGGGTGAAGGTGGTTGGCTACAAGGGGGACGTGGACCACGAGAACTGGGTCTCCAACTACAATGCACTGCGGGCAGCCGTGGGCATCAGGCCTCCAGGTGAGAGGGGGCACAACTGCCCCGGGCGCTGGCAGGGAGGGGTGGGGTGCACCATGGCATTGAGTCCACATGCCCTCGTGCGGGGCAGTGCTTCCAAGCTGCAGGGGCTCGTGGAGCACGAGTGGAGCCCGTGGGTCGGGACAAGAGGCCTCGCTCTGCTGCTCCAGGGCTGGGCAGCATGGAGCGGGTGCACGAGCCTGCGGGCATGGAGCAGGAGAGCCGTGGTGTGCTCTGTGACAGTCGGGGCTGGCCATCCAGACCTGCCAATGCCCCATTGTGCGTGGCAGGGGCAGACGGTGGCCCATGGGCCACTCCTGACACCCAGTCCTGTGCCCGGCCTCCCCTCCCGGCTGTGGTAGGTGATGTGGCTCTGCCCCTCCCCAGGCTACCTGATCCACGAGTCAGCCTCTTGGAGCGACACGCTGCAGCGCTGGTTCTTCCTGCCACGCCGAGCCAGCCACGAGCACTACGACGAGAAGGAGGACGAGCACCGCGGCACCAACTTGCTGCTCAGCGCCACGCAGGACTTCGGGGACGTGGCCCTGCGACACATCGGCGATGTGGTGCCCACCCATGGCTTCTCCGCCTTCAAGTTCATCCCCGACACCGACGACCAGATCATCGTGGCCCTCAAGTCAGAGGAGGACCAGGGCAAGGTGGCCACCTACATCCTGGCCTTCACGCTGGACGGGCGCCTGCTCCTGCCCGAGACTCACATTGGGGACGTGAAATACGAGGGCATCGAGTTTATATAGCAGGGACTTGCAACGGGACATGGGGCTGGGGCCGGAGCTCTGCTCTTGGGCTCAGCAGGTCTAAGCCACTGGAGAGGCGCCGGACCAGCTCCCGGCATGCGGCTGGCCGGTGGCCCCAGGCTGGACCCGGGCGCCGCCTGGCACAGGTTGGCACATCGGGTAAAAGAGCCTGGCTGCAGTCGTGTGGCTCGCGTGTGTCTCAGCGCTGACGCCTGGTGGCGAGGGACGGGCACTGCAGACTGCCACGTGCTGCGCTGCTCCGTGGAGGAGGTTTGGGGGCCTCTCGTGGCCCCCCGGGGAAGCCCGGAGCAGGGCAGCGTGGGGGGGGGGGCATCCCCTTTCCTGCCTGGCTGCGCTACCTCTGGCTCCAAGCCCCAAGCTCTGGAGGGCGAGTGCCCCGGAGGCCCCTGCTCGCCGTGGCCCACAGGGTGGGGAAGCAGTCCTGAGCTGCCATGCCAGTAGGTGAAGGCAGGCTGGCGTGAGCTTCGAGTGCCTGCCCGGCTTGGATGGGAGCATCCCTCCAGGGCAGCTCCTCCCCTGCCCCTGCCCCGCCACGTGTGGGCAGCCCTCCTGGCGGGGGAGGCGAGGGCTCTCCCTAATCGCTCTGCCAGAGACCACCCTGGGCCAGCCGTGACTTGGCCGGCCTGGCTCCTGTCCCAGCTGGATCCCAGCCTGGGCCCCACAAGGAACGGGGGTAGCATTTGCCTTTGGCTGCTGGGATCCTTCATCCTTTCTTCCTGCGCCTGCCACGCCGCCGCACCAGAGCTGCACCCACTCGAGATGCTGCAAGCTCGCTGCCCCCGTCGGCAAGGGACAGGGACAAGGCAGGCTCTGGGCCTGGGACTGAAGCCCCGGGGCCATGCTTCTGGGTAACGGGCGCCCTGGACTGTCCCTGTGGGCCGTGGCGCACTGGTGCATGGCTGTGGCTCTCGTCTCGCTGCTGGGGGCTTGACAGGCTACGTGGACTGTCCCGCACCCCCCTGGAGCCCCCTGCCAGGAGCTGGGAGACCCCAGGTGTAGGCGAGGGGCTGAGCAACTCCCCTCGGGTGCCCATGCAGGGGGAGCACTGCCCGGCGTCTCTTCCAAGCAGCAGGAGGGCACCCCGGCCCAAACGGGACCAGAGGTGGGTACCAGGTGGCTGGGTCGGTCCCCGGGTCACAGAGATGCTCTCTCCCTCGGGAAAACCGGCTTCATGGCTGTGGTGACACGGGAGTGCCGTGTCTGTGCCAGGGCTCTGAGCTCCGGCGGGCACAAAGCCCCTCCCCCGTGGGATCGTTGTGCCCTGCCGTGGAGGTAAGTGGGCCCAGAGAGGGGCCGTGCCCCCAGAACCCAGGTGTCCTGGGGTCCGGGCCCCATGCCCTCCTATCATGGTGTTGGGCCAGGCAAGAAGGGGCCTCGGGAAAGCCAGCGTGGCAGGAGGCTCCCCAGGAGATGGGCAAGACCCAGGGGTGCACGAGCCCCGGGTAGCGCTTGGCCCTCACCCACGCTGTCCCTGCCCGGAGTCATGGGTTGTCTCTGCAGCTGCAGCGGCCCAGAGCCGTCCCCCTGGGAGTGATTCAGTGGCATGTGGGGCCCTTCCTGGCCTCCCACAGGATGCCTACGTGCCTGCTGCCCGCCAGCCGCCATGCCCTGGGTCCCAGCTGGGCAGCGTGTCCCCGTGCCATGCAGGAGTGGGGGCAGGCGTCCTTCCTCCTTGCAGAGCCCCCTGCCCAGGGCTGGTGGATCCCCGGCACTGCCCGTGTGCACCAGGCCACTGCTGCTGTGCGATGCCAGGCCAAGTCCTGCGAAGGGGGAAGGGGGCTGGCGCCACAGCTGGGCCCTGCCTGTACAGCTGCTGCGTGAGCCCCCTGTGCCTGCGGGGTCCTGTCCCAGGCAGGCTTGGGCCCGAGCCCCGGCAGAGCGACCCAGGCGGCGTGGGACCTCCCGCCGCAGCGCGCGCAGCGCCCTTTTAAGAGCCTGGCTGGCAGGGGATGCTGCTCATGAGTCCTGCCCTAATAGCTACCAGCTGGTGCGGAGGGAGGGGGCTGGGCCGCGCTGCCCGGGGCCACCAGCCCCAGTCCCCTCGGCCCCGGGCGGGCCCAGGCTGGCGGCTGCAGGGGTCAGGGCCCGGCCCAGCGCCTGGCCTTGCGGGGGCC